GTTTCAGAAGTGTAATACAGTTCGAGACATGTAACATCTTCTCGATGAAAGCACGATGTAGGCCACGTACCGTAGAATTTGTGCCGATTCACCTCACCGACAGGGCTGTTGTCATCTTCGAGGTCAAACGTGCCTGAGTATTTGTCGTAGTCGAACTTGTACACACAGTGCAATGGTTCGGTTACGGTCGCGTATCTGAACATCAAGGTTCAGCAAGTGTATCAAATTGTATAGTAAGAAGAAGAAAAGAAGTGGAAAAACCGGGATGTTTTACAGGCTCTTCAAGAGGAGAGCGAAATCTGAAAACATTCTCGTGCTCTAATCATTCTCAACGTAGGAGTTTCATAACCACTGACCATTTAAAGGCAGTTGGCACGATGGTTTCCTACTTAGCCTAAAATGCTAGTAGGGCGCTGTATAGTGGGGAAATGGCGAAAGAACGGAGTGAAACGGTCAAAATCCTGCGAAGAAAAAGCCTCCGTTCTCAGTGACTTGTAAATCGATTTCGGACGAGTTTCCCGTAGGCATCTTACCAATCACCGAAGATACGGCTGCATATGTGTACCCATGTATGCATGCAGCATCACGGCCGCTTCATACCAATCCCTTCGCTTCATAATTTGCTTAGCAAATGAATGAATACGAGCGTCAGGAACGGTCGTCCATTTGTGGGCGGGCGGGCGTGGCGGGCGTTTGGGACGTAAAGTTGTGGCTTGATAGGGCCCTTATAAGGGCACCTTCCTCGGGGAAACCGCTATGCAGCGCCTGCCCAGGGTCGCGGAATTCTATCCTGCCAGGAGTATTGATCCTAGTCGTCTTGGGGGATTTATCGTGCCAACTGCCTTTAAGCTTGCTTGATTTGCACTATCGGACCAGCACAGGAGTCACATTGGTAGAAAATGAGAAAATGGTCGTACCTTTGAAGAATGTGATTTCCATCGCGACTATGCCGCGTACAGTCCAACCATAAACCGTGCTCGTGAATTGAACTATACTCACGAAGATTCACCACCTAAATCTTCTCATGTAATTTGTAATTTTTTTTGACTTTCATTCTATCATTCAAAACAACTCAGACTAAAAACTTGAACAGTGGGTAGATAAATCGTGCCCTGGAGGTGACATACACTCCTTATCCCTGACATGGAGTGGGCGTGGCATTTGAAAATGACTTACATTGGGTTACTCGTGGAATATTTCAATTTAAGGCAACTGTCATTTTGTTTCCTTGTTGAACAGAGACTTAACCACAATTGTTTCAACTTGAAAATTTCCCTCCAAAAGCAGAACCAGTGCCACTTTGATTGAAGTGTGCATCCACGCCTACCACACCTCAGGGATTTAGTGTATGTACTACGATCCTTTCTATTTCCTTTCTCTCAAAGGTCTACGTCTGTGGATAATCGTGGACTTGGGTTTTTCCCTAACCAGTCATTAAACCTCAAACAATGCTGATAGCGGTAGCCTACGACTACGACTACCTTGCCTTCAACTGCACTCTCCAGAGAGCCGTTCCCAATGCACCCTCTGAATAATGGCTAATATAGATAAATGACCGCCGCTTGTCGTTTCCTGTACCTTACGAATGATTTATGGCGAACATTAATAAGATGAACCGGCGCTGCTCGGTCCAGGAGAGCATTCTGCTATTCCGCAATTTCCTATTGCTGCTCTTCACAAGTGTAGCTCTAACCGGAGTGAGACCTGTGAGCTCTCGTGGGGCTGCAAAATGGTCAAAGTGGACCTTTTCGGTATAAGGGTATAAGCTCGACGGCAAGACCGTTAAGCTATTTAATTCGACTAAGGTTTTGGTGTTGTCGCCTTGTTCAGAGGATGGAAAGTTGAACGCTAGTCTAGAACCTACTAGTCCATACACTTTCAATTCGGAGAGAAAGTTCAAAAGGTTCATAAATTACTATGATGACGGAATCCACAAGAACAAACCTTTAGGGATGTCGAGCAATGAGGGAGTCACTTTTACTGTAGGAAATCGAGTCTTCATGTGGTGACGAGTACAAGCTCCGCTGAGTACTATTCGATGCACCCAAGCCGTATTGCGCCTAGCGTTCAGCTTGGTCTCTCTTTCTTTCACCTCCTTTTTCAAAATGGGTCTCCGGACAACTACGGTCTGTGTACAGAAATCATTGAAATGTTTGGAATGGGATTGGCTGTCTGACCCTCAAGAAAGGTCTCAGTGCGACCCATTTCTTCAACCTATCCACTAATTTACGGAATTCACCCCATATATTTCAATGGGGTAGACGTCCCTTACTCTCAGAGATAGTACTTTTGCCACTATGCCAGCTATGGAGAGCCAAAGACGACTCTCCTCCCAAGCAGCGAGATACTACCCCTGATGAGATTGGCAATCTATGGCTGTAGGTTGATGAAGTCCTCTCTTGTACTTTCGCTCCTCTTCCACTTTCCCACTCCTGTAGAGGTCTTGATGCTTTCTACAGAATACGATTCGCGAAGTTTAGTAAGAGCGCTGAAGAAACCCCCGTTGGTTGCGATTGTCAGAACTTGCAGTTGCAAAAACATTGGATCACAACAGTCAGGTGACGCAGGACGGAAGAAGGGTTGGTTCTAATGCCAAAACATGTGATGTTGCGCTATTTTCACAACCTCCAAAGGAATTGATTGGCCAGGAAAGAGTCTTCTCTCCAGAAAGGAATTTCCCATATTGTGGGTGGTATATGTGAGAGCAGATGTTGCAGAATTCTAACAACGAAGTCTCTTTTTGAAAGCCCCAGAAACCTTTGAAGCTAGCAAACAACCGTATTAGGACAAGTGGGACCCTTGTGAAAGCGTGAGAAAGCTTTAAGGTTCGACCACCTCATGCTTATCAAATTGTGAACAATCTTAATCTTAAAGAAGCATGTGTTTTCGAGGATGCGGTCGATGATCAAAGCCCAAAATTCCAAGAGTTCTCAAGGTAACAAACAGGTTCTGAAGCGCCTGGAAGACGCGTGGTCGGCTTGGAAACGTGAAAATCGATCAGAGATGAAAGTGGAGTTGAAGAATAGAGAAAAGCACTGCAAGTCAAAAGAATTAGCCAAAAAGAGTGCCCTTGCAGCAGGACCAACTTTAGGATCTCTCTAGATTAATCGATAACAAGGCGATTTTTAATTCGATGAACGGCGTTCAAGGCCTAAGTACACCGATCCGAAAAAAAACTACCCATGCTCAATTCACTCGAACCTTCAATGCAAACTCATGAAACGATCGATTGGCCTCTCACCTGCCAGCTGGGTGTCAGTATTGCGGCGATGCTCAGTCCCATACCAATTACGGACAATATGATGGCGAACGTAAGAGCGCCCTTCCGGCCGAAATCCGCACCGGACGACATACGTCGCTGAAAATCAATGTTAATCGATAAACGACATCGATAATAGTTCCATGCAAATACACATAAAACACGTCCGGGCAATACCAGTTTCTGTGAAAGAAATGGTCTGGCTTTGTGAAATAGTACGTGACAATCTCGTCATTCGGAAAATAAATTGAAAGGTAATAGACTGAAAAATCAATAACGCTCACTATTAACTGACATTTCTCATTCTGGAAGCCGCACAACGCTGTCGAGAGTAGTATATTCGACTATAATTGTGAGGGGCCTCGAGCCGGGGGCGGCAAGTTACAGTAGTCAGAGACTCGCATTAGTCAGAGAGCAAATAGGCGCCGGACACGCAGAGAACGTCGTAGGGGCGCAGGAACACAGAGGTTTCCATGATTGCAAAGAGGGAATTAAAACGTCTGATTAGAACTGGAGCACAGTCCGCGACAAGGAGCGTAGGTAAAAGTATTGAAATATGGAGAAGAATGATAAGTGAATCGTCTGCGAGGAGAAAATGACAAAGGAACGTAGGAATTGCCTTCAAAAAGACCCCTCCCCCTCGAACAGTTGCACGGGTAAAAGGCCAGAGACCGCATGCTGGAACAAGTCCTGTCAGCTGATTCCTTGTAGTGAATCTTATGATCCCCTAAGTAATCGAAGAGCATCCATAACATGCTTCTTATCCAGCAACAGCCAGAAGGCAGACTTGAGCGTGGGGTCTGTAGACCCCACGCTCAAGTCTGGTGCGCCCTACCTCCTTTACCTCACGACTTTCAGCAGCGAAACTGGCCCGCGGTTGTTCACTGCGGTCTATCCTTCCCATATGACCTTTACATTTTCATAGGTGATCGCGTTCCTTTGAACTTGGGCTTTCGTTACGAATAAGGTCTTGTGTACTCATTTCCCTTGAAACTTATCCCACCGTTACTTCCAATGCCAGCCATGGGATGCAAAAGTAGCTCAAATAAATCTTTGCTTCAGATCTCTTCCGTGGCTTTTTGAATACCCATTGGCGGAAATAATTGTTCTTTCAGCAAGGACTGCGGGGAGAAGGACTTGACAATGCTCAGTTACAGGCTAATAACAGTGATAATATCACCTAGGTTACTGCAGCAATTTTGTGCGTGTAAATAGAAAGGATAGCTTCAGCGTTGGTTACTCCTTTGGTGGATTGTGTTTTGGCCTTGAGCCTTTCTTCCATTCAGAGTCTTAACGGGATTTCGAACAAGATTTGGCTGACTGAAAGAGGCCAGCCAACTTTCGCGCCAGCAGGTAGTGAGGCCCGTATGGGACCATCACCTCCGCCCTATGAAAGACGGCAACAGTAAAAAAAACACTAGTAGAGAAGAACAGAAGCCGAGAGATTCAGATAAGGACACTATATACTAGCGAACCACTAGCAATAAGATACCTTTGTAGACTAGATTATTCGCAACTGGACTACATAACTGCAATCGCTTTTACTTGCTGACTGCCGTCCAAGACTGTGCAGGAGCGGATCGCTCAGAGCTTTGAGGACTAGGGAGGACGAACATAATCCTTCAGAACCATTACAGTCAGCCTCCTTCAAGCATCGCCACGAAAGGATGTTAGGTCGAGATTGCCAGTTGAAAAATAATGTACCGACTGGTGTTGTTCTTGAAGTTGATTGAAAATTCGTGCTAATATTCTTCGCACAATGTTATGGAGGTTTTTTAATACAGTGCCCTCCTGGGTATGTGGCAAGAGAATCGTAATTCGCCGCGAGAGGGGGTGTAGCGTGCGACGTCGCGCCCCCTAATGACGACGATTTCAGATGGTATTGGTCGAAAATAGACAATGTATGACCAAAAATAGATATAAATGTCTACCATGTCCTTGTCTACATAAAATTCGATGCTCAAATCGAAAGGGTAGTGCAATTTAAGGAAACGCCCGCGGGCGAATGGCGACTTACGATTCTCTTGCCCGTCTGCCCTCCTGGCCAGGCATGCGTATAAGCCACAACATAGAACCGAAGCTAAATACGCTGAAACCTGAAGCTGGAGATTAACCAGCAGACAGTAAGGAAGTGCGACAATAATCTTTTTTATGAAAGTGTTTTTTCGCTCGTCGGCCATCTGTGTGCTGCGCCAAAAGGTTTTGAGGATGTGCTGGAGCTCTCAGCGCCACATTCAATGCATTTTTGCGTCGAAAAATGCGACGTTCTGTGGCTCAAGTTGGGAAGAGTGCTCAGTCTTGAGACCAACAGCACTATTCCCGAACACCATCCTTGCTGGCAATGGTGTTCTTCTCATCCTTCGGAAGAAGGTAATTGATCACATATAAGATGCTATTTTTTGTCGCCGAGCTATGCGGCGCCAATTTGGCGCCATAACTTAACGGAAATAATAACTGGAGACGTATTCAACGGCTAGAAGTGTCCACGAGGGTCTTCAAAAACGGCTCCATTTCTCGAAAATTCTCGAAAATTAGAATGGAAATGAAAGGTTCTTGGAAATTTCATGGTTCCTGACGAGTTGGTTTGAGACATCAAGAGAACATTTTCGAAAAAGATGCAAAAGAGCGTGTTCAGCTAAGGATTCAGAACGTGGAGCTTCCTGACACGAGGCCGATCGCGCTCACACCAGGCTATCGAAGTATCTAAAG